GCCGCTCGCCGATGTTTAATTGAGGCTTAACAAGTGTGTAGTATGATAACAAACCGTAGTTTGCTGTATCGAGCCCGGTGTTAGGTCAACATAGTTCGGTTATCGTGGCCCCAAGTTAAAATGGTATGCAAGCTGCGCTCGACTGGCGGTTACCGCCTGACGTCTCTATTCATTACGGAGCAACCGGCCCTCGCAACTTTGTTCACACAAACTCGCAACTCCTACTTTCCCTATAAAGTAGAGTTGTGACAGCGAGTAATGTCTCCTTATATTGTTCTGGGGCTAAGAGGTTTGCCTCCTAGTTGTGATGAGAATTGTTAACTTTTACACTGTCTAGCGTCTAGTTAATTTATAACAACCGCGCTCTGAATTTTTAACAGTGCATTAGTCTTCGGGCGAATTTGCGTTAACGTTTCGAATCGAAGAAAATAGGTCGTTACAGTTTATTAATGACCATGGAAAGGTCTTAATATCGGAGTTCGGACGAAGAGTTTCGGCGTTAATCGATACTTGCGAATATCGATTATGAAGTTAGTGCGAAAATCATCGGGTGTGGGTGGGCTTGACAAATGTCGGTTATAAGCGCAGAACAAATTGGTGCAATCTATTACAGTGGCGCTGGCAGCGCTCACCCGACAAATATTATCAAGATCGTTAATTTCGACATCTTAGTGCGAGACGCTCCCGTGATTACAAGCGAGCGCATACGGCTATGATACCGCTTAACTACCGCACCATGCCCCGAGAACTAATACCACTAACTATTTTTGTAAGCTTAATTAAATATTAACTATCGGACGTAGTAATTAGTGCTCATATGTACACTGAACTGAACTTAGACGTATTTTCTCCGGTTTAGTTCGAATCTGAAACTAACTAACAAAAACTTAGACTTTTTATTTCCTTTTGAAATAGTTACGGCATTGAGAAAAACCGCTTTATAGTTTTTTAAGATTTTTCACTAGCCGTAACAATTATAAAAATCCAAGCAATTAATCCAATCAATTGAGTTAGCGTTCGATTGAAACATTTTAAGTCACCACTTTGCTCTTAATAACCTCAGACTTAAAACGACTTACTCTCTTTGTTAAACGACTCACGGGTTTTTAAAACCAGGCATTTATTGTTGATCCTCAACAAAACGAAACCATAATAATTAAACGGACCCTTGAACATTTTCAACCTTTCATGTAACGCTAAAAGTTATGACCTGGTAATTTTTTATGACCGAAATAGTGACTGACCCATTTCCCACTCGAACATGAATTGCGCAAATTCGCGTACATTTTTGTAACGATTCAATCCCGCCGAGTTACTTGTGCCCATAAAACATGAATATAAAATTGTGAGAGTAACACATGACTCTTAATGAAAAGTATATTATCTCACATAAAAACATTTTACGTTCGTTTTCAACGGCGGTTATTAAATTAAATCATAATTTACACACGCCAAGTTAAATCAGACTGTAAGCTCGTGAAATCGCAATAAAAATTATTAGACTCGTTACAGCTTTTCCTCGCTAGACCCTTTTTATTCTTTTTCATATTAGAGCCGTTCTCAGGAACAATGACGTCATAAATGCCGAAACGATTTTTCATTCCCATCATAAATGTTCACTTTCTCCATTTTATTCGGCCACTGAAACAATGTACGGTTGACGCGTGAATTTATTAATACTTTTATACGTTCCTCTTTATTACCTGAATTTGTTCCAATACCCACTTCTCTTATTAAACACTTTTTTCAAGCGCTTTACGTCGCAGCGTTTCAAGTTATAGAAATCATAGCGCTTCCGTTTTACTTTCATACAATGCTACCTTCGACAGCCATTATTTTTCAAAGTAGGCTGATGAATACATTAAAATACCTATACCTACGAACCAACCACGATATTAATTGTAACATTGGTAAAAATGTAATCACTTTTTGATATTTGTATTTGAAGCAGTAAGTGTTATTTCCCAATGTGCTTAGGTATGTTTAAGCGGTCTGATTCTGCAACATTATCATCCATAATATTTTCATTTACACCTAATTATACATTTTCATACTAGCACACACTACAATAATTTGAATAACAATTCAAGCTTAATGAGCTTCATAAAACACTTTCATCGATATTAAATCGATTAATTCCAGTTGAATAGTGTTAGTGAAACATAAACTTTTCATATGACGTCGATAGTGGGCCACCGATCGTGTTTACAGCCTTCATAAAAATCTCCTCAACTGACTTCAGTAGAACGCTCTGCCTTTTATTGCCACTTCTTGCTGTTATGACAATATTTTGTTATCTGATCTTATACTGTCATTAATACTGTTTGTTTATTTATCTAAATTGATTATTCTATCTATCATCACGGTAATCCAGGCCCAAAGTATGCTGAGCTTGAGTATTATTATGACTGTAGTCAAGTCAGACGATACATCTGGGTATTCTAAGGCTGGGTTGCATCATCTTTCTTTAACAGTAACAAACGTCAAAAGTCTGTCAAATTCCATATAAAAAACACCGGTTATGGTTGTAGTCACGGTTAAAATAAGGGGATGCAAACTCAGTCTAAGGCTGAGTTGCACCAACTAATTTTGACGGTAACTATGACGGTAACCGGTGTTTTTTGTATGGAATTTGACAGATTTTTTATGTTTGTCAAAGTTAAAGTAAGATGGTGCACCCCACCCTAAATGTTTATGCTTGTCATTCTAACTTCTCCCCAAGTGGGATTTGAACCAGTGACCGTATTTAAAGTCGAAGCTGGCAATATAATCATTAAGCTATACCTACATACAGTCGTCAAATGATTGATTATGATTATTGCATAACAATTTACTTTTAAATAGGAAACTGGGTCATTAAGAAGTCTGATTGTGAGATGTTTTAACAGAATTTAAAAGTAAATCGTGATTTGAAGAAGTCTATTTAAAATTGGGGTTTTACACCTGTATTTGAATTAAGTTTAGTACCTAACTAAATAATAATATTGAAAAGTACTCACTAGAATTACGACGCATCTCCCAGAAATTGTATTTTTTTATTGGGAATTAAATGTAGAGTGGGTTTGTATAAGCTAAATTATATTTTCAAACCTAACAGGCAATTCTAGTAAAACATATTTACACGCGTGGATTGATAAATTGTTTGCGTAGTACAATGAACATTATTGTGCAAAAAAACAAAATCCTCGCGGCAAAACAACAAACACAATCCATCGGACCCATCCCGAAATTTTCACAGAACATTTTAATATCACTAATAGATTATCCGTATTGATTCGCCACAATAGACCTGATACTCTTTGAAAACGTAAACGTATCATTCTGTCCGTACTATCTGGCAAAAAGGGCCGAGTTCGTGTGATCTAAGTAAACCTTTCATGTATATTTTATTCCCGATATTTTGATGGGGCCCTCGTATCACGTTCATTCAAATGACATATTGGAGGAACGTTTGAGCATGTACTGATCGAGAAAAGATCCACAGTTTTCTTTCGAGAGTAAAACCAAATACCATCAAGCGGAGAGCCAATATAAAGAATTGATTTTGCGACGATTCCAACATTTTTGCCAATACATTCGTAAAACCATTTGTTACACTTTGTGGTTTAGGAAGTTTCAATGTCAAAAAGTTTCTCGTTAAGCGAATTTAACGTTATTAACACAACACATCACAATTAGTGTTATCGCAGATGGGCCCTGTATTGTCACAGTCTTCATTATGAAGGCATCCGACATCATTCTTCATTAACTTGAAAAATTGTTATGGAAACGAAAACTGCCCTCTTTTCCAACACAATCCACCATTCTGCTACGAAATTTCCATCCTCGTTGTTTCTTTGTGGTGAAAAATGTTATTTAATTTCGGGCAATTATTACACGCGCTCTACGGAATTACTCTAAGGAATAGGACCCGCGGATGTTGGTTTTATTTTAGGGGAGCGGTTCCTTTTTCTACAATGAAAGCTTTATGCCGCAAAATGGGATTCCCGCTGTTAGCGTAATCTGTTGCTTATTGTATTATGTAAATTACGAATGTTGTTATAATCGCCGATGCATATTGCATAGCGTTAGCTGGGATAAGCCCGATCGGAAATCGCCTGAATTGTAGCACCGTTCCTATTTAATTCTGCGTGTAGTTTAGTAAAATGTTGATACTTCTTTGTAAGTTGTATAAAACATTGCATTCATATAAGCAAGTGAACGAACTTGCATAATTCAATTTATAAAATTTGTACCCACTAAAAACATTACAAAAATTTACATTATTTAGAAAAAATATCATTTTAATGAAATTCAGGCCATAAAATCTCCCTTGAGTTCAACATGCTAAGTAACTGTAAATAATGTAAAATATTGTTTGCAAACTTCAATTTGGATTCGCGAACGCCGTGAATGTCGATACGCAGATGATCACAGTTCGTGTTTATATTTTGGGGGAGAATGATGTTGGGGCTTTATTAAGTGTCTTACGTGAGTGATATCTGAGGCGTGGCAGGTGCGTCGCGATATTCCTCTGCGCCGTACAGAACCGTCCCGTCATTTGTACATTTGCTTTATTACTCTGGTGATTTATACCTTCGCCCGGTGTGTTTAACTGCTGAGGTCTGTCATTTCGCCGTCTTAAATTGAGATTGATCCTGGGATGTTGACGCCAACACTGGCTTGACGGAAAATTGTATATTTGTTTCATACCGTAATTTGATCTAAGCGCAGAAAAATGCTGACGTGCCCATGACTTGGGCACGTGTAAGATTAACTCGCGGAATTTCGTTTTTCGTTTCCTCTTTGTAAATAGGATTAGGATTTCCACGGATAACGACTTAGATAATGCGACAGATATTTACCCGTCAATCTGATGAGTCCAAATCTTCAATCTTCGCCGACCATTTTGGGGTCTTTAGTTTCGAGAAAGTCACGGTCGCCAAATTTATTTTATATTGGCTCGTTTATTTTTACTGCCTCTTTTATTTGATTGTAAATATTGTTTCTTTTTGTTACAGAGAGGCTCAGACGAGCTTCTTTCGCAGAGTGGCGTCACCGTCATGGCGCCCGCCGCTCCGCACCACGCCGACAATAACAACCAAGACTCCGCCGCGAAAAAGGTAAGAGTTTATGCTAATTATTTATATTAGTATCCTGCTTCTTCTAAATTAGGGCTGGTTGCAACCCCTAATATCACACCTGTAGCATCAGACATTATAAGCTAAGAAGTCTATTAACTATGTCACAACCAATGAGCAGTTGAGACTGAACGATTACGCGAATGACATTAATATGCCAACGCCCAACACTCAAAACAAAATATTTTTACACTTATTGAAATTGTTTAAGTAAAATCCCTTTTAATAAATAAATGTAGAATTTAGGGAATAACGAATCCCCACGGGTCGTTTATAATTACTCCGCTGCCTAAATATCAAATTGGATACGTATATAAAACATTTCACCTTTAATTACTTTCAGCGTCAATTAATTAATCGGCGGGGTTTTTAATTTTTCTCGTCTCGAAAACCACTCTTCTTCGGTTGCGTAATTAACCGAATAACGATTAATCGAGATAAAGCGATAAAACGATGGAATCGCGAAACCAAAATGAGTATTAAAATAAAAGGCCCCTCATAAAAAGCCAACGTGCTATAAAGGGGCTTCCCCGAGGACTCGAGGGCCAAATTTTTATTAATGTCTACCCCGACCTGCGATATCGGATGGATTTTTACATAATATATTGAATCAAAATGGAATTGATAATTTTCGGCAAATGAACTCAATAGATTTTTTAGGACAACGCTCGAATTTTTCTTTGGTTATTCCGCAACGGAATTGAATTTGGGAACATGTGTGACACTCGGTTGCAAAGTATTTCCCAAGCGGTAGCCCTGCAATGCGGCGTCAATAGGTTACGAATTATTTAAGTTTGCTGCTCAAGAAGAATTAGAAAAAAATAACAATTTTAAAAGGAAATAAAATGTTTGATCTTTGACATAGTATTAAAACAATGTTAAGGTATGTTCCAGAAAGATCTACCAATACATTTTGGGGCAACTATTCGTATGAATTACAGTCCTGGAAAAAACAGCCCTCGGGTCTGTTATTCGAAGAGTACGTCCACAGTATTCCAACCCGCGTTTTTTCTCCGCCAAACTCGAATCAGTGCCGCGAGCATGCACACGTCTATTCTTGTTTTGTACGGCAAAATAGGGTACAATCAACATGGAAGGAGTTGTAAAAAAATAAACAAGGTCGCAGTTTCGGGTGTTTCCCGTTGCACAGTTGTTTCATCGTGTATTTACATAAATACGCTGCGCCGTTTACGTGCACACTTTGTACGGTGCACAAACAGGCTCTTTGTTTGTGGAGCCCTGCTGCCCGTACCGACCGCTAAATGGATTGCATCATCCATTAAAAACTTGAAGTACAATGCAGTGTCATACTTGTGGCAACGGTTTTCACAAGAATACGAGCAAATGAGATGGTTTAATTTTGTATAGTTAACGAAACATTGTAGCCCGCTGTGAACGATGAAAGCCGCGTAGTCAAAGGGATGACTTCGAGTTAGTACTTAAAACTTAGTCAATCAGATCAAGGATATACACATAGTATCAACAACTGAAAAACACATTTCTTAATAAAAAAAACAACTTCATACTTCTCATTTTCATGGTAATTATTATTCATATCCCAATGTTCTAGACGTAAACAATACATTTCCATTTCTTAAGAAATTTTTTGCCAAGTAGTTTAGAGTCCCGACTCCCGACCTCCCAACCTTGAGAAATCATCTCGGGCCCCAACAAAAAGCACGTAAATACTATATTGAATAGGAACCGCGTCCTTGTATATCATTTACGTAAATTAAATAGAAATGAAGCATCCCGTCGAAAAGGAACCATTTTCATATTCTTTCGTGCAGCCAGTTTATTTCCCCGCTGTCACCGGTCATTATGTCACAGCTATTAAGAAAACGAATGAAAAGGACCTTAACAAAAATAAGTATGAAATTGAAATAACTAAGTAAATATTTTCTGGGTCGAACAAATTTCATTACTCGGCCATATTGAGTGTTTGTTGTTATGTAAGTACTTTTTACATCTTTTTAGATATTGAACTTACGACCTTAAACATTTGTAATGAAGAAATATTTTTTTCTTTTTATTTTTTTTATTTTAATTTTTTTTTATTCGGATAACCTACATACCTACTGAATTTTTAAGACAGAATTTATATTTTCGTGCTAAGGTGAAAAGTTACTGGAAAGTGTTTGCTTGCCGAATACTGTATTCCTCATGAGCAAACAAAATTATATTAATTTTTTTATTTGCAAATAATGTCCAAAAGATTGAGCATTTACCTATCTGAAAAAGAGTCCTAAAATGAAAATAATTATACAAAAGCACACCTTTAAATTTCCTACGCTATAAAACCCATAGAAGAAGTTAGTGCAGTGCAGCTAGTGCAGGCTTAACTAAATAAAACAACATAATGTTGTAACATAAGATGAGACAATGTTCCTCGAACTAAATTGTATGTAAGCAACATTCGTAATTAATTCCAAAGCGTATTCGACAACAAATGCACAAAAAGCCCGTCCTATTCCAGTAAAACAAGGTAACTGCGTTAGTTTCTGTGTTTTGCCGACCATTTACTCTCACTTGTTAGGGCGGCCAGAAAAAACACCGCAGTAATCTTAATTACATTGTGATCTCGTTACAGCCTGGCCTTAATTCATAATTAAATAGGGACGTGTCCCTGCGACGCTTATTTATTTGCTATTTTATGGTTTTGCGATTGCGGCCTTTTTTCCACTGCGAAAATTTAGGCTCTGCCTTTTTTGCGACACCCCTTTCTTCTTTGTCGCTCTGAATATTCATTTGGAACCCATCGGCGGAATGGCGACTCGTTTTTAAAAGTATTTTTTTATGTCCTCTCTTTGTGTTGTAGCGAACACCTCGTGCTGGGAAAATATTGAAGGAAAACACTGAGCAACTGCTTTTTACAAAATGTTTTATGGGAGGAACTTATCTCGCGGCAAATATTGTTTTGAGTATTTACCGCCAATGTAAACAGACGGGTGCCTCGGATTTTTACTTAGCAATTAAAATTAATAGACACTCCTTCTTTTTCTTGAAAAGATGCTCAACTTACAAGATAACAAGCGCTGAAATTTCCAATAACGGACCGTTTTCACTCAACCAATAACATATCAGACAAAGCACGTCTGCAGAAAACACACTAATCAACCCTCGTCCTCTTTGACCGGGTCATTAATGTCCAAATAAAGTAATTAATTATGTTCCCGTTTTTTTCCCTCATTTTCCTCTGACGTCGGCCTGTAAAAACGTAGAGAGGCCTCCACAGTGAAGATCAATCAAATCTGAGGATGCTGCCGCAGGGGCTACTTTCACCACTACTTAACCATTTACGAGCTCATCTCGAGTTACGACTGCGTACAGGTTGACTGTTTGTACTCGGAAAAGAATCGTCTTTTTTTACTTATTCACCGATGTAATCTCATTAAAGACTTTTTTCAGGAGAACAAAAGTAAATCTTGGTTGTTTCGAACTCCCTAAGGGCGGTTCGAGGCTTACAGCGATTTTATGAAGTTGCATTAAACATGTGCACGTATGTTGTAAAACTTTGTTGTCTCACTTGAAAGAAATTCATGAATAACATTTGCTATTCTTGTACTTCCATTTTAAATCCTTCAGCACAGAGGACGAAATTTCTCAATTTTTCGTTCACAACAGGAAGGATATCACTTAATATTTCACGTTAAATATCTTTTAAAAAGACAGCTTTTAAAAGTACATTGGCATATCTTGTTTTTTCCCTTTCAATTAAGCTTGTATCGAATCTATCGATTTTGTTCCCAGAAAATTCGGTAATCAATCAAATGATGCTATAAAGATATTCATTGCCCGGGCACTTACTATTTTACTGCTAGTTTTAGGGGCACTAAAACCATTTGGCTATCTTATTTTACGATTTTCCACCACGAGCACACGGAACGACCTATACAAACAAAAACTTATGAAACAAGTGATTTAGAACATTGTTTTACTGAGTGTGAGATAGACTTTTACTGCGACGGCTTAACCGTTATTTAGCCGTTTGCTAAATTAGATCTCAAAGAATTTAGTAGCAGAAACAATATAGCATTTTTTAAAGTATTTTTACTTATAAAACAAAAAGTAAAAGGTAAAAGTTACTAAGGAACTTCAATATTTCGTTTAGACTTTAGAGTAATCTGTATCAATGAGTGTATTTTTAGTTGAAGTTGCAAAGTGATTCGGCCCAAGTGGGGCCACTATTAAAAGTTTCCCGTCACAAAGTCGCCCCGGCCCATTCTTATGCATGAATGAATTAGCACCGAAGTGCGGGCTCTGGACCACGCCGGTTGTACAACAAGCTTGACACGGTGGAGTCGATCTCGTTGTAATACAGACTATTTTGCGACAGAAATATAAAGTCTGATGTGCTGTCGACTGTACATTAGTGGGACAATTAGCTCCTGTCTTATTATACATGGCGTCAATCGGGTTTGACTGTAACTTAATTGAGTTTAGTTACTGCATTGTAATAGCCATTGTTAGCGCACAATAGAATTTCTAACAGCTATAGAGGTATTTCCGAGGTCAAGCTTTATAAAAAGTAGGCCAGAAAGTTTGATACTATAATAATAAAATATCTAGTATAGTTATTAGCCTGGACTAGAGTATTTTTGTTTCTATTGTACCTATTTATTGTTAAATTGAAATATAGATATCTCAACAATAACAAGCTGCAATCTATTGAACAAACAACAAGTCTTAGAATACAGTACAACCTGCAAATACTTGAGCAAGTTTCAAATAGCAGCCTGTATCAGTGATGGTCGGCAATTTATTAACAATATTCAACGGAATTGCCAATTAAAAGTTGTACGATAGAGTTTCAGCGACTCCTGGTGTAATGCTTTTGAAATTTTAACGGCCGATGCAACTCTGAGTTTAGTATCAACAATCAAGTGTATTTCTAACGATGCTTTGATTTTATGTATCTTATTAAACGGGACTATTCCCACCTCTCGTTCCCACCACTGCAACTCCTGTGTAGCCAGGATCTA